AGTCTCTAGCTAGTGGTTAAGTATGCTCACTGCCCCCACTTCATTCCGTTAAACCCCAGGCTGTGTCCGTCCGTCCCGTCTTTCCTTCCTTCCTTCCTTCCTTCCTTCCTTCCTTCCTTCCTTCCCTCCCTCCCTCTTTCTTTTTTTTCTTTTCTTTCTTTTCTTTTCTTCTTTTTTTTTTTTTTTTTAAATAAATACAGGGTTTTACCATGTTGGTGAGGCTGGCCTTGAACTCCCGACCTCAGGTGATCCACCTGCCTTGGCCTCCAGAGTGCTTGGATTACAGGCATGAGCCACCGCACCCAGCCCTCTGTGACATTTCCTTAAGGATCTGTGAGGCTTGCAGTCTTCAGACAGTCTTCTGTTTCTTGAGGGTAAACAGTTGCACTTCTCTGTCCTTGCTGCTGTGTGTTGGGTTGTCTGGTTGTACAGAGATCGCAGGTTGGTTCCCCTTTGGTTTTGAGGTGGGATCTCTCTGTCACCCAGGCTGGAGTAAGTGGCAGGATCGCTGCCACCTCGGCCTCCCAGAGTGCTGGGATTGTAGGCATGAGCCTCTGTGCCCAGCCCCGGCTTGGTTTCTGAGCTTGTTTTGAGGGGCGGGCTCTCTGGTCCCCACACCCGGAGGCAGGCATGGGATGGGGGTGTCAGTTCTCTCGGCTGTGTTACTTACATCTATGTGTCACGCCCACTCGGGGTGAGCTCTGCCCTCCAGGGAAACCCCAAGGCCCCGGGGGAGCAGGTTGCGAGGGGTCCCTGGTTCTGGGGGAGGGAGTTGCCTGTGTTCCCCGCCCAACCTCGTTGCCTGCCCGAGGACATGTCTGGCCACTTTCGGGGCTCGGGACCCCCACTGTTGGGTGGTGTGTGGTTCCAGTCACTTCCTCTTCAGCCTCGGGGGTGTCTGCTCAGTGGTAGGCCACCCCCAGACATTAGGGGCAGCTGGAGGAGGGCTCTGCGCTGCCCCAGACCTGTTTTCTCCCCACTCCTGGCCCTCTCAGAATGCCGGGTGCGTGTCCACGGCCTGCGGCCCCCGAGCAAGAAAACGAAGCAAGAGGATGGCCCCCGAGCGGCCGCGGGGCAGGGCTGGCTGCTCACCTTCTCCCACAGCTTGAACTCAGGTGAAGTGGGTGCCCTGCTGGTGGCACATGCCTGTGATCCCACACTTGCAGGGAGGGCAGGGTGGGAGGATCGCTGGAGGCCAAGAGTTTGAGGCCAGCCTAGGCAACGTAGGGAGACCCCACCGCTACAAAAAAATTCAAAACATTCACCAGGCACGGTGGCTCATGCCTGTAATCTCAGCACCTGGGGAGTCAGAGGCGGACGGATCACCTGAGGTCTGGCGTTCGAGACTAGCCTGGCCAACACGTATGAAACTCCCTCTCTGCTAAAAATACAAAAATTAGCTGGGTGTGGTGGCACACGCCTGCAGTCGAAGCTACTTGGGAGGCTCAGGTGGGAAAATGACTGAACCCAGGAGGCGTGTGCTCCCGTGAGCGGAGATCACAACACCCAAGGAAAAGCCACCCCCAAATTCAAACCTCTGTCTGATCTCACCCCCCCCCCACCCCTTGCAACCCCCAGGGGACTGGGAATGGGTCTGAGGAGCATCACAAGCCACAGGGGCCAGACCCCAGGCAGGGTAGGGACAGGCTCAGGTCAGTGTCCTTCAAGACTTTAATGGTAAGAAAGGGGAGAGAGACAGGGTGAGCCACAGGCCTGGGGGTCATAGTGGCCCCATATCTGGCGGCCGCCTTCCGCGCCCCAGTGAACGGAGCCTGCATGGGCGGCACCTGTGGTGGCTGTAGAGATGTTAGTTGGTGCTTAGATGGGATCGGGGTGGTTGGTGGTGGTTGCTGTTACTTTATTTGCTGTTGAGGACTGGGTTGTTGAGGACAGCAGGCGCATGTATGCATTTTTCATGGAATTTTTAACGTGCTTTTGCAAATGCTGGCCATGTTTCCAGCAGTTTGTAGTGTGCTCCCGTGTTGGACAGCAGAGGTGGAGAGCACTTTTATCCTCCCAGGTTTTCTTGGGAGCACAGTGCTTGATGAGTAAAGTGAAGATGTTGAAGATGGACGTTTGGGGGGCCCCATGCTGGGAAGGGGCTCAGGCAGGTGGCGAGGGTGGGGGGTCACCTCGTGTGTGGGCGAAGAGGAGAGTGGTGAGGTCAGGGAAGAGTTGGGTCTAGACGCTGAGGGCGATGGGGAGCCATGGGAGAGGCTAGAAGGAGGCAGAAGAGCCGAGTTTGCTTCTCAAGGCTCCGTCGGGGCTGCCTGAGGATGTCGGCAGACTTGGGAGGGAGACTTGGGCTGTGGCTGCGCTGCTGTGCCTTTGGGAGGAGGCTCCCAGAACTGTAGCCTGACCGAGTGGGGCGTGCATTGCAGAGCTGGGGCTGCAGCATGAGGTCCCCAGGACCGTCCGAAGCCAGGCCACCTGGTGGGCCTGAGGGTTTGGGGCAGGGGCAGCACACAGGGCCGTGCTCAGGGCCCATGTCCGCCGTGGGTTTTGCCTGCCCAGCGTGGCGACCCCATTCCTGGTGCCGAAGTTGGTCGATTGGGTTTCTTGCGCAGGGGTAGCTGACGCCACTCGGACGGTATTCTTCCATCTCAGGGTCAGCCAGCTTCTCCAGGAAGGAGCAGGGAGTCAGTATTTCTGGCTGCGCAGGACGGGTGGGCGCTCTCACAGTTTTTTGACTCTGCTGCTGTAGCGAAAGCAGCCGCGGGTAGTACATGGACACACGGGCCCAGCTCATGCCCGGAAAACGTGGTTTGAGAAGCAGGCTGGGGGCCAGACTTGGTTCGTGTGTGCTGTTTGCTGATCCCGTCAGTCCCGCCCAGTATTTACCGAACGCCTTTTGGAGCCCCCTCTTGGTAGGCGACCCAGTGGAGACCGGGACTGGGAAGCCACCAGCGCTGAGCGTTCCTTGGCCGCTGACGGCGTCTCTGAGACAGCGTCTTCCCTCGTTATCCTCACGGCAACCCGGCCAGGTGGGCAGCTTCCACACCCCCGTCGCTGGAGTTGGATCCGAAGCCCGGGGGTGGGCAGCTCCTGGGCCCGCTCCCGAGGCGTCCTTCCCACAGGGGCCCTCTCTGCGGTGCCGCACCCAGGAAATCACAGAAAAGCACTCTGACGGCAGCGCCTTGTTCCGTTAGAACATTTTAATTAGAACGAGCAGGGGATGCATTATGAATATTCATGTCGGGTTATTAAAATGCATAATTGATCAGCGGGGGGACTCTAATAACTGTTTTAATGTGGGGGCTGTCCCTATTTTTGTCATTTCTAGAAGGAAGAGGCCGAGGGCTGGGTGAGGGAGGGTTCCCCAAAAGGGCAGATTGAGGCCGAATTGCCTCTGTAGGAGCTTGTTGGAGTGAGCCCCAGGGGTGGTCCCTGGGTGTGGGGTCTCAGGCGGCCCCCCACATGCCAGGCCTTCCAGGGGTTGAGGGCTGGGGTGCCAGGAGCGTTCTGTTAGCTCGGTCAGGGGTCTCCGCACCTCGTGGGGCGCCTTGAGCATGGGCAAGCTTGTCTCCGGTGGGGCTGTGGCTGGAGGGGACCGGACAACAGGCAGGTGTGTGAAGGGGAAACTGAGGCCCAGAGGTGCTGGTGCTTTGCCCATCCTCAGCCAGCCCGCCCTGGCCTCGGCAGGTACCCTGTTCACCGGGACACACGTATGGGACCAGGATCCTGGGGCATGGATTCCTGGAGACCACGGGAGCCCCCTGCCTGGCCCCCCAGCCAGCCAAGGCCACATCCCAGCCCCCCACTCATAATCACATTGGAAATTTTTGATGAGAAAACAAAATCTAAATGCAGTATATGAATATTCATTAGGTGGGGAGATTAATATGCATAATTATGTAAATTAGATAGCAATTAAACACCAATACTTCCCGAGGGGAATGAGTAACACAAAGGCACCGAAATAGAAAGATGCAATTTGAAAGAAGTTTCTGGTGCAGGCGAGCTGGGTGGGCGGAGGGGTCAGCGTGGGGGAGGACAGCCTGAGCTTCTGTCTGTCACAGACTTTGTGCTGGGCTGGGTCCCCTAGCCTGGCTCTCGGGAGGCCTCTGGACTTCAGAGTTGGACATGGGCACCTCCAGCCTTCAGAAGTGTGGCTTGTTTGTAATTCCGCTTATCATAGAGGGAAACTGAGGCAGGGCCGCGACCTTGTGGCCAAGCTGAGGCGCCCCAGGGCTGCAATCCTGCTTCTGTGCTTTGTGGCCCTGCATGGATGGGGGAAGGGTCTGAACAGGCCTGCCCTGCCCTGCCCAGGGCAGAAGATTCCGGAGTCCCGGGCGGTTGCCTGTGAGTGTTCTGAGCGATAAGGGCCCCGCCCCGCCCCGCCCCGCCCCGCCCCGCCCCGGGACCAAGGTCCTCGTCCCAGCGAGCTGCGGGCTGGGAGCTCCTGCCCCAGTACAGGCCTCTGGTCTCTGCATGGGGCTTGTTCCTGGGTGACGAGATTCGGCTCCACCCTCTGGGGCTGCCAGCCTCCTGCGCAGTGGGTCCGCCTCTGCTGCAGCTTCAGCAAAGGCGGCCCCGCCTCCCACGCTGGCAGGTGGGGACAGGGAGACCACCCCCCCCAGCTCATTGTTCACTCCCACACCCTCAGGCACTCAAGAAGAGTCCACCTGACACAGAACCCCGGGCCCACATGGTCTGGGCTGGGCCAGAGGGAGCCCTGGGGGTGGAGGCTCGGCACGAGAGCGAGGGCTCTACCCAAGGAGGCCATGATGGCTGGGGCTTCAGTGGGTGGGTAGGAGTTTGCCAGCAGAGAGCTGATGGAAGAATTACTTAAGTGTGTGAACCTGGAGGTCCCAGGGTGTCTGGGTGTCACCTGCTGACTGGTGTCCCTGTGAGTCAGGCTGGGTGAGGCTGGGCTAGGAAAGGTTCCACATACCCCCTGGATCCACTGAGACTTGCCCCAGAGATGCCAGGACCCCAGCCTGGCTTTGGAGTGGGGCCAGGTGTGAGGGTGACTGTAACTCTCTCTGTCCTGCCTGCAGGTCTTGAGGACCGGCCCAGCTCAGGCTCCTGGGGCAGCGGTGACCAGAACAGCTCCTCCTTTGACCCCAGCCGGGTAGGAGCCCCCATAAGACCTCAGATCCTGAGTTTCCTATCCCCAGAGTGGGGGATGTGTGGGGAACGGAGGCTGAGAGAAGGGGCCAGCCTTCCAGGGGTTTGGACTGGGAGACATAGGTTCGAGTCCTCCCATCCAGCCGTATCGCGGGGTGGGGGGCCTGTGGGGCCCAGCACGTCTCACCCCCACCTTCTCCCGCAGACCTTCAGCGAGGGCGCCCACTTCACTGAGCCGCACAGCGGCCTCTCTTCGTCCACATTCCTAGGACCGGGACTCGGAGGTGAGTGCCCGCCTGGCGGGGTCCTTCTGCCGCGCACGGATGTGCAGACATCGGCGTGGCCAGGGCACACACGGCAGTAGGCATCCGCAGCGTTCACGCAGAGGGTGTGGGCAGCCGAAGCCTCCGCCCGTCCTGGGAGCGGGTGCAGGAGGTCACAGCCCGGCCTCCCCGCCACGGCGCCCTGCGACTCGGCGTCCCCGCCTGGGTGCAGAGGCAGGGAGGCCAATCCAACCCCCCGTCCTCCCTGCGACTTGTGCAGGTCTCCTCCTGCTTCCCGGGGACGGGTCAGCAGGGCCGGCCGTCGCCCGCTGGAAAGGAGGTGTAGGAGTCCTGGAGACTGGAGGAGGCGGCCTGCGCGTGTGGTGGTCAGAGCCCGCGCTGCTGCGTAGGCCGCCGCCCTCTCTCCCTGGGAGCCTCTTGTTAACCGAGAGGATGGCGACTCAGGCCGGGGCAGGGGGCTTGCGCCTCTCATCCCGACACTTCAGGAGGCCGAGGTGAGTGGATCACCTGAGGTCGGGAGTTCGAGACCAGCCTGGCCAACACAGTGAAACCTCGTCTCTACTAAGAATACAAAAATTAGCCAGGCGTGGTGCTGGGTGTTTGTAGTCCCAGCTACTCGGGAGGCTGAGGCAGGAGAATTGCTTGAACCCAGGACATGGAGGTTCCAGTGAGCTGAGATCCAACCATTGCACTCCAGCCTGGGTGACAGAGCGAAACTCAGGCTCAAACAAATAAAAAGAATGACGACTCAGACCTGGCGTGTTATCCCACGCCGCTGTGTACCCCGGGCAAGAACCATCCTCTTCTGAGCCTCAGTTTCCCCACTGTGGGAAAGGGACCCTCCCAGAACCCTCCTGGAGGGAGACAGTGAGAAGAGGCTCAGCTCTGCAGGCCCTGCTGATCTCAGGATGGGGGTTGGTGACTGGTCACTGCCGGCCCACCCACTCTTGTGACTATCCCAGCCCCGCTGCTGGCCCACCTGTGCTTGGGAAGGGACACCCTGGTGCGAGGTCCATGGCTGAGTGGGGCTGACCGGGGCACATCCTCCTCCAGGGACCTGGGGCTGCGGCTGGGACGGTGTCTGGTGTGCCGTTTCTCCTGCGGGTGACCCGGAAACCCCCAGGCTTCACAGCCCCCCTCCTGTGAGGCTGTCAAGTCCAGTGCCCTGGGGTTCCGGGAGCTTGGGTAGGGGTCTTGGGGGACTAGCAGGGGGCTCGGGGGTCCCGCTGCCGTGGTGCCTCAGCTGTGGAATTTGTGGTTCCATCCCTCAGTCATCCTGAGCCGTGGGATCCTTCCCCGTCTCTGGAACCCGGCGGTTCGCGGCAGTGTTTGTGCGTGGGTTTCAGGGTGCAGTGGAGCGGGGCGCTGCTCAGAAGCCGTCAGCTGTGGGACGCGGGACCTGCTGCTGGGCTCATGCGTACCGTGTACCCCTCAGCACTGTGGGCTAGGGGGAAGCTGAGGCCTGGAGGACTTTGGGGACCCGGCCTTTTCCCTGGACCCTGAGTGGCAGCCCCTGGTTGGACCCCACAGCGAGCCGGCTTGTCCTGCCTCGCTTTGCCCGGCCTAGGACCTGGCATGCAGTGGGTTGGTGTCCTGGGTAGGAAGGGAATGGCGTGAAGGTAGGGGAGGGTGTGCCTGAGACCCACCACCACGAGCCAGGGGTGATTTCTGCCCATTTCCCAGACCAGGAAGGTGAGGCCTGGCCCCACCCCCACCTGGGGTGGTCTGTGCACCTGGAGGGCTGGTTTCCTGCTGGCTGTTTATCCTCCCAGCCTCTTCCTCTTACCCCTGATGGCCCCAGGGTGGGCAGGGCTGACACAGGCAGTTCCCGTGGACTGGCCAGCAGTGTCCAGAGCCCATTCGTGTCCCACCTGCCACCCGTGGGGCCTGGGTCCCAGCCAGGCAGCTTGGAGAGGGCAGCGGGGGTCCCGGGAGGCACTGGGGGCGTTGGCATAACCTCAGCCTCCCCCGGCCTCAGTTTCTCACCTGAGAAGCGGGGCACGCGGCTGCTGTGGCCTGGGGTGGCCTGTGGGGGGGTTGTGGCTGTCGTCTTCCCCATGTCCCCAGGGTCACCAAGATGAGGAAACGGGGGGCAAAAACCAGCAGCATCTGTTCTAGGAGTCGGGAAATTGTTGAACTTGGTTTTTTTTTTTTGAGATGGAGTCTCGCTCTGCTGCCCAGGCTGGAGTGCAGTGGCCCAATCTTGGATCACTGTAGCCTCCGCTGGTCAGGCTGGTCTCGAACTCCTCACCTCCTAATCCGCCCGCCTCGGCCTCCCAGAGTGCTGGGATTGCAGGCGTGCATCACTGCACCCGGCTGTTGCACTTTTAAAATTCAGAAATCGGAAAATTTTTTTCACAGTTTGAGAATAATGTACATTAGTTGTGCGTTTCATCCCCTCCCAGCAGGGCTGGGGGCTGTGCCTCCCCAGTCACGTGCCTCGCCCAGTGTAAGCCAGAAGGGGATTCAAGTGGCTCAGGTCTTGAGTAGTCGGGGACCTGCTTGAGGCAAGGCTGGATCCAGGTGTCTCTGCATCAGACCCAGGCCCTCCACTCTGGGGGGCTCACCCCAGCCAGCTGTCCCCCTCCATAGCCCAGCCTCACCTGCCCTTTGTCACTGAGCACCCCCAGGGAGGTGCCGGTCATTGGTGGAGGGCAGGTCACATGTTCATTCACGAACAAACCCTGGCTGCAAGCTGGGCTCTTAGGGGAAGCCTGTGCCAGGGAACCCGGGGCCTGGGCGCTGAACCGGAGTCTGTTTGCACCTGGGCTCCCCCCCAGGTCCCCTAGGCCTGTCCCTTGGGACAGACAAATGCCTCTGATCCCAGCTCCCCAGGGCATCGGCCTGTCTATGCCTGGAACGGAGGAAACCGAGGCTCAGGAAGGGCAGGGACTGGCCGGCAGGATGCAGGTCTCCTTCGAGCTCTGCTGTTCCTTCCCTGTCCCCCACGCAGGGCAGGGCTCGTGTGGGCTGCAGAGGCTTCAAATCAGCCCCAAAATCATCAGGGATCCCTTCTTGTCCCCAAGCCCGTTGCTGGTAGATGTGAGAGCCCTCTTAGCCACGTGCACTTAGGCAGCGCCTGTTGTGTGTGGGCGCTGTCTCGGCCGTGTGCAGTTACAGAGCGCCTGTTGCGTGTGGGCGCTGTCTCAGCCGTGTGCAGTTACAGAGCGCCTGTTGCGTGTGGACGCTGTCTTGGCCGTGTGCACTCACTGAGCGCCTCTTGTGTGTGGGCGCTGTCTCGGCCATGTGCACTGAGCGCCTGTTGCGTGTGGGCGCTGTCTCGGCCGTGTGCACTCACTGAGCGCCTGTTGCGTGTGGGCGCTGTCTCGGCCGTGTGCACTCACTGAGCGCCTGTTGTGTGTGGGCGCTGTCTCGGCCGTGTGCAGTTACTGAGTACCTGTTGTATGTGTGTTCTCTCTCAGCTGTGTGCACTTATGCAGTGCCTGTTAATGTGTGGGCGCTGTCTCAGCCGTGTGCACTTATGCAGCGCCTGTTGTATGTGGGCGCTATGTCAGCCGTGTGCAGTTACTGAGTACCTGTTGTATGTGTGTTCTCTCTCAGCCGCGTGCACTTACGGAGCGCCTGTTGTGTGTAGGCACGTGCCAGGCACGGGGCGGGGGACCTCAGGATGGTTCTTGGGTGGCCTCCTACTGACCTTCCTTCTCCCTTGCAGGCAAGAGTGGCGAGCGGGGTGCCTATGCCTCTTTCGGGAGAGATACAGGCGTGGGCGGCCTGACTCAGGTGAGGGGTTTGGGCTGGGCTGGGCGTGTTTTAATTCTAATCAAATCTATCACTCTGATCTGCAGAAGCTGTGCAGGCTCAGCCGGGTTCATTTTGCCTCCTGTTAGCGGCGACAGCAGGCCCGACCTGGGCCAGAGTGGGCTGGTTGGGTGTGGACCAGGTGGCGGGGGAGGCAGGTAGGACAGGGAGGCTGCCATGCCCAGCTCCAGGGCTCAGATGCCCACACACCCCAGTGGCCGGCAGGAAGACTGCTCTCTGGCGCCCCCTGGCCGCCCTGCAAGCCTGCAGTAGCCACACAGGGTGCAGGCTCAGCAGGGCTGGGTGCTGGGCCACCCTGTGGGGCTACCAGATGATGGATCAGATGAAACACAGGAGACAGTGCCAGGACCCGGCTCTGGGCGGCCCTGGTTCCCCAAGAAGAAAGCCCGTTTACCCACTAACGTTCAGAATCAAACTGAGGGCTTTATACAACAAAATCAAAAAGACAGGAAGCAGCAGGGTGCGCAGACACCCAGCTACACAGAATCTGGGAAGCAGTGTGCGCAGACACCCGGCCACACAGAATCTGGGGAGCAGGGTGCGCAGACACCCGGCCACACAGAATCTGGGGAGCAGTGTGCGCAGACAACCAGCTACACAGAATCCGGGGAGCGGGGTGCACAGACACCCGGCCACACAGAATCTGGGGAGCAGTGTGCACAGACACCCAGCCACACAGAATCCAGGGAGCAGTGTGCACAGACACCCGGCCACACGGAATCCGGGGAGCAGTGTGCACAGATACCCGGCCATGCAGAATCCAGGGAGCGGGGTGCACAGACACCCGGCCACACAGAATCCGGGGAGCAGTGTGCACAGACGCCGGGCCACACAGAATCCGAGGAGCGGGGTGCGCAGAATCCGGGGAGCAGCTCCTAGGGTCAGCAGCACTGGTGCCTCTTTCTTAGTCTGTGGTTCTTCATGGAAACAACAGTATGGCTGTCAGGGTCAGTCTTGAGTTGGAGGAGCATGGCAGGTGGCGGAAGAATCGCCGTGAGCAGGCGGAAGGGGCATCACCCGCCAAGGGGCAAGTCCAAGCGGCTTCAGCCTTGGCAGTTTTTTCTTGAATGCAGCGGCCTGGGGTTTGGATGCCAGCCCCATTCCTCCTGACGCCCTGCTCCCCACCAGGCTGGCTTCCTGCCGGGCGAGCTGGCCCTCAGCAGCCCTGGGCCCCTGTCCCCATCCGGCATGAAGGGGACCTCCCAGTACTACCCCTCCTACTCCAGCAGCTCCCGGCGGAGAGCGGCGGACGGTGGCCTGGGTGAGCGAGGTCTGCCAGGGGCAGCGGGGGCATCCGAGAGGGAGCCTGCAGAGGGAGGTGGGTGGTCTCCTGTTAGCTGAGGGCATGGGAGGCGATGGACCCTGTACCTTCCAGGTCCTGGCTGGACAGCGGGCGGCGCTTGGGTGTTGGGAGGGATGGATGGTGACGGGGTGGCCCAGTGCAGTCCGTACTCACGCTCCTGGTGGCCCCGGCCCACAAAGCCGCCGCAGACTATTGCAGCCAAACCCACAGTTCCTTTTGCACCACCTGATAGATTGTTGCTGTGAGAAGCCAGGAGAGGGTCCTGCCAGCCTCTGGTCATGACGTTCCTGCGGCTGATGGGCGTAGGCTTCGTGCACGTGGTTTCTGTTTAAGATGCCTCCGGGGCTCAGGAGCGCTGGGCAGCACCTCAAAACTAGCCGGGCCTGTCCCAGGCATGGTGGCACACACCCGGGGTCCCAGCTCCTTGGGAGGCAGGAGGATGGCTTGGCCCTGGGAGTTTGAGGCTGCAGTGAGCTACAGTCGCATCACTGCGCTCCAGCCTGAGCAGTAGAGTGAGACCCAGTTAGTGAAATCACAAGAAGCACAAAAATGTAACAGATGGTGGCTCGGAATAGACCAGGGACAGGAGTCCCCACCATGATGTCGGAGGAGGCCCTCCTCCGCCTCAGCTGGGCCGTGCACCCCGGCCACTCAAATTCCACCCCCGTCCCTGAGCGATCAGGAAGGCGCCCGAGCGCTGATTTCCAGGTTACAGATTTTATCCAGTAAGCGAGTTTGCAAACAGCGGCCGTGAGTAGTGAGGACTGATTGCATGCGATCCCGGAAGCAAGGGCAGCCCAGGGCTTCCCAGCAGAGCCCCCGCTCAGGACCCGTCAGCTCCTCGTTTTCCGCACTCCGCGTCACAGGCGACAACCCTCGTGGTTCTTTTTCGTCTTTGGACGCATGTAGACCCCAGGTTTTTGATTGATGAAACGGGAACTGTAAGGGTCCCCTGTCCAGGCGCAGGACAGGCGTGTGCTCGTGGCGGTGGCCGCCTCTCACCCCTTTTGCTCCGTACAGACACACAGCCCAAGAAGGTCCGGAAGGTCCCGCCGGGTCTTCCATCCTCGGTGAGTTGCTCGAGGAAGGGAGCCCACAGCTCCTCAGTGCCAGCGCCAGGCCGTGTCCCCGGGAAGCTTGGGAACACATGTGGGGCGGTTGGTGCTGGGGGGACAGGACCCCCGAGGTTTCGGAACCCAAAACTGCCCCGAGGCCCTGGCTCCAACCGGAGGCCGCCTGAAGGAAGGCAGAGAAGTTCTTCCCTAGGTCCGGCCTCTGTCTCTCTTGCTTTGAGAGAAAGGCGGTTCTGGTGCCTGAGGCCCCCTTCTGAGAAAGGGCACCAAGGGGGCTCCCCGTTCCGTCCTCGCGGGTTCGGGCTGCCTGGGGCGGGTGGGGTGCCAGGCCCTCCAGATGGTCCAGGCTGTGTGCCGCACTCCTGCGATCTCGTCTCAGTGGAGGGAGAGGCACTGGGCCGATTTCCCAGCTCTGTAGCCACCGACCACCCTCTGCCCGGCACCCGTGCTGGCGGCAAGAGCCCCGGGCATACGTCCCCTCACCGCCCGGGTTCAGGGTTAGAGTCTTACTGACTTCAGGCCAAAGGCATGGTCAGGCTCTGCTCCCAGCGTTCCTGCTCCCCTCCTCCTCCAGGGCCACTTTCTCTCACCTGGACCCGCCCCCCAGTTTCTTACACCATCAGGCCCACCCAGCACGCTCCCCGCTTCAGCACAGGGCAGACCTTATCAGCTGGCCCCAGCCCCACAGTCCGGGTAGTGCCCACCACTTGGAGCTGGCACTAATTGCAGGCCCCTCTTTTGATTCGGCCAAGGACCAGCGTTGCTCTGGGGCCAAGGAAATCTCGGCACTGGGGGATTGATGCCAGCTGGGGAAGAAAGGAGACGGACGGGATGGGGGTGTTGGAGCTGGGGTTTTGATGGATCAGTAGGAGTTTTCTGGATTAAGGTGGAAAAAGGCTTTGTAGACAGAGCCAGATCTAAGGCCTCAGGTACAATGGTCAGTAGTTCAGGGAGGCGGGAGGTGGGGGCTGGTAAAGGGGCAGGAGAGAGACCGTCAGAACCTGAATCTGGGCCAAGGAGCTGGGGTTTATCCAAAGCGGGGGTGGCTTCACAGGCAGGGGAAACGGGGTGTGAGCTACTGGCAGAGGGCCAGGAGGTGGGGCTTGGGGAGGGCAGCAAGGAGCATGCGCTGATGAACCCCAAGGCCCCTGTCCTGACCGTGCACCCACCCCCGCCCTCCCGCAGGTGTACCCGCCCAGCTCAGGTGAGGACTACGGCAGGGACGCCGCCACCTACCCGTCCGCCAAGACCCCCAGCAGCGCCTATCCCGCCCCCTTCTACATGGCAGGTACGTGGGGGCTTGCCTGAGAAGGTGGGGTGGGCTGGGGTGCCCCACCTGGACCCTGTCTTACCAGTCCCCCACCCCCGCAGATGGCAGCCTGCACCCCTCAGCCGAGCTCTGGAGTCCCCCGGGCCAGGCGGGCTTTGGGCCCATGCTGGGCGGGGGCTCATCGCCCCTGTCCCTCCCCGGCAGCAGCGCTGTGGCCAGCGGTGGAGCCAGCAGCACATTTGGTGGCCTGCACCAGCACGAACGCATGGTAGGACCGCGGCCGGGGGCCGGTGGGCGGGCCGACGATGGCAGTGCCCCATCTAACCCCGTCCTGCCTGATGCCCCCAGGGCTACCAGCTGCACGGAGCAGAGGTGAACGGCGGGCTCCCGGCTGCACCCACCTTCTCCTCAGCCCCCGGAGCCGCATACGGTGGCGTCTCCAGCCACACGCCGCCTGTCACTGGGGCCGACGGCCTCCTGGGTATGGCCCGTGCCCGGGTCCAGCCCCTCCGGGGGGACACTGAGCTGCAGGCAGGGCCTCGGAGGGCTCAGCAGGGGACCTGGTGGGGACTCCACGGCGGGCGCAGGCGCGGTCGCTGGCCCAGAGCTGGGTTGGCGTGAGTTCACGTCGGCCGCTGTCTGCAGGGCATGCCACGTGGGTTGGGATGGGGATATCTGGAAACAGCTCTTTGAGAAGTGGGTTGTTTCCGCTTTACAGCTGGGGAAACTGAGGCTCAGAGGGGACTCGCTCGCCCAGGGTCCCTTGAGGCTCCCTGTTCCCAGAGCCCCTGGGGACTCTGGTTTTGGGGCATCATGCTGCTCTCATCACTGCTGTGGCGTCCATGCAGGACGGTGGAGCGCAGGGAGCTCCCTGTCAGCTGTAGCACCCAGGCTGGGCCACGTGGGCCGGAGGCTCCCCCAGGCTGGGTCTCACCTCTCTCCACCCACAGGCTCCCGAGGGACCACAGCCGGCAGCTCTGGGGATGCCCTCGGGAAGGCACTGGCCTCGGTGAGGCATGGGGCATGGGGGGTGGCCAGGCGAGTGACCCGAGAGGCTGACCCCTGACCACCTGTCTCTCCTGGTCCCACTCACAGATCTACTCCCCAGATCACTCAAGCAATAACTTCTCGTCCAGCCCCTCTACCCCCGTGGGCTCCCCGCAGGGCCTGGCAGGTCTGTAAGGGTTTTGGGGGGCCGGGGGCGGTTGCTTCTGGTGCCTGCACCTTGCTGGGATGGGCAGCAGGTGGGAAGGGAGCAGCTCATCTTGGGGGGCCCGTGGCATCTCTGGTCAGGAACCAGACAGTGGAACAGAGTCCACTGTGAGCTTGTCTTTCACTGGGCAATCTCGGAAGGCTGCCTGGTGGAAGCAGTCTCCAAGTCAGTCCTCCAAGGCTATGACACATAACCAGACAGTGAGGGAGTGCTGGGAGGTGGCGTCCTGGTGAGGTCCCAGCACAGGCAGAACCGGGAGGCAGGACCTGGCGGTTCATGCTGCGTGAACACGAGGGGACGCAGGCGTGCCCAGCAGCTCCCGGATCCCATAGGGCAGCAGTGCTGGGGCTGTGGTCCAGGCTCTAGAACATGGATGTGTTGCTATTTGCTCACCCACGGGGTATTTATTAGGTACCACCTGTTTACCTGGTGTGAGGCTCTGGCCCGTGGGGGCAGTCTCTCTAGCCCTGTGAGGATACGCCTGGTTACAGCAAGGGGATTGGAGGGGGCCACAGGAGGAGGAGGAGGAGTGAGAGCTGGAGGTTTCCAGAAGGTCTGGGTGGTTACGATACCTGTGAGTTTCCACTTCATCCCCATGGAGAGCGTCAGGGACCCTCACTTCACCTTGGCCTGTCTGGTCCCGCCTGGAGCCAACGACCTCCCTGCCTGCTGCTGGAGCCCAGCGTGGGTCGGCCAGGGTGGGGCAGTGTAGGGAGGAGCCCCGTGCCATGTGCCCTGAGCCGCTTTACCCCTGGTGTAGGCGTGGTTGCATTTTGTAGAGGGGGAAACTGAGGCTCAGAGATTGGAATGGCAGTGCCCACTGGGCACCCAGCATCCCTGCCTGGCGGACAGCTTTTCCAGTCGATGCGGGGTGCCCTGGAGTGGCCATCGTGGGCAGGCGGAGGCTGGCCGGGCGCTTCATGAATCCCTCCCCGTGGGGGTCACGCTGCGCTCCCACCCTGCTCCTTGCACCCCATTTATGAGCCCCAACCCCCCTTCCAGGGACGTCGCAGTGGCCCCGAGCAGGAGCCCCCGGTGCCTTATCGCCCAGCTACGACGGGGGCCTCCATGGCCTGGTGAGCACCCGCCCCACCCCACCTCACCCACTCTTCTGCAGAATTTACAGGGCAGTTGCCCCTTGAGGAGAAACGTTTTTGTTAATTTCTCCTATGTAATCTCTAAGCGGTGACTGGGGCCCCGTGGCTGCCAAGGCACACGCGTTTTGAGCTGGTCGAAAATGCAGCCTCCTGGGGACGGGGAAAACAGGACCGCCTGCCACTTGCATGCAAAAGGGGACGTGGACCGGGTCCTGTGGGGTCCCGTGGCCCCGGCCCCTCACCACCCACCCCTCCGCCCTGCAGCAGAGTAAGATAGAAGACCACCTGGACGAGGCCATCCATGTGCTCCGCAGCCACGCCGTGGGCACGGCTGGCGACGTGCACGCACTGCTGCCTGGCCACGGGGCGCTGGCCTCGGGCTTCGTCGGTCCCATGCCGCTGGGCGGCCGGCACGCAGGCCTGGTGAGCTCTGGGCGAGGCCGGGGCCGGGCCTCGGGCAGGGACCCCAGCTCCTGCTGACCGGCCCCTCTCCCCACCCGCAGGCCGGAGCCGGACACCCCGAGGATGGCCTTGCAGGCAGCGCCAGCCTCATGCCCAACCCCGCAGCCCTCCCCAGCCAGCCAGGCGCCCTCCCCGACCTCTCCCGGCCTCCGGACACGTACAGCGGTAAGTCCTCGAGCTCAGCTCGTCTCAGCCCTGGTTCCAGTTGAGAAGACTGAGGCACTCCAGTGGGGGGAGTTGGGGGAACCTGGGGCAGGAGTGGTCACCGTGGGGCACCTGGTGACTTAGGTGCCCCGTCAGCACCTTCAGGAGGGCGGGCTCCGGGCTACCTCTTGATCAGCCGGCTCCTGAATGCCACGTACCTGGTAGCGCGCAGCCCTGGAGGCGGGGCGGGGTGGGGTGTGCAGCAGGATGCCCCTGCCTCAGGGGAGACGGACCCCCAGCGCAGGTGCTAGAGAGAATGAACGAGTGGCTGGCGGGGGCTGGGGTTTGTATGGTTTTAAAGATGGCCCTGGAGGCAAGAAGCTGAAGTTTGAGCAGCACCTGGAAGGAGGCAGGAGTAGGCAGGTACCTGGAAGAGGAGGGTTCTGGGCTGAGGGCGCAGCCCAGGCAAAGGCCCTGGGGACAGACCGTGCCTGGGAGGAGCAGCCAGGAGAGCCTTGGGGTTGGAGCAGAGTGGGGAGGGGGAGAAGGAGGAGGAGTGAGAGGGAGGAGGGGGAGTGAGAGGGAGGAGCGGGGGCGAGAGGGATCTCCCACATGTACAAAGTGGAAGGGGACGTCATGCAGGGCCGTGTGGGCTGCAGGGAGGACTCGGGCTTTGATGGCGAAGGAGGCAGGAGTCATGGAGGCTGTGGCCAGGAGGGATGGGACCTGCCCCAGGTGTTCACAGACCCCCTCTGGTGGCTGCTTGGAGGACAGACCCTGAGCGGCCCTGCGGGTCCAGGGCAGAGGCCAGAGGCTGGTCCAGGGTTCCTGGAGGGTGGGCAGTGGGGGCTGTGCGTCTCCTGAAGGCTTGGCCCGCAGGGTTTGTGACTCGAGGGTGAGAAGAGGCAGGGCGGCTCTGGCATGTCTCCCCGAGCTGTGGGTAGCTCAGGGGCTGGGAACCCCGTAAGGAAGGGGTCAGAGGGACGGGTTTGGGGCAGATCTGCCTGGACCTGGGGCTGTCAGCATGTGACAACCGTGAGAGGCCCAGGAGGAGGGGGTCGCTGTGGGCCCTTTCCCAGCCCCGTCCCTCCACCACGCTGGGAATCCCGCCTGTTTCCAGGGACCTTGATTTTTATCACCGCAGCAGCTCTGCCCCAGGGGACACCAGGTGATGCCTGGGGACATCTGCGGTTGTCAGGCCTGGGGGTGCTTCCAGCACGGAGTGGGTGGGGGCCGGCAATGCTGCTCAGCACCCTGCAGTGCCCATGACGGCCCCACCCCAGAGAAGGGTCCGGGCTCACGGGTCGGCAGTGCCCGGGGCGGCCCCACCCCAGAGAAGGGTCCGGGCTCACGGGTCGGCAGTGCCCGGGACGGCCCCACCCCAGAGAAGGGTCCGGGCTCACGGGTCGGCAGTGCCCGGGACGGCCCCACCCTAGAGAAGGGTCCGGGCTCACGGGTCGGCAGTGCCCGGGACGGCCCCACCCCAGAGAAGGGTCCGGGCTCACGGGTCGGCAGTGCCCAGGACGGCCCTGAGCTTAGTCTTATACCCACAGGTTCTCATTTCCTTCCTGTCCTTCATGTGCTGAGGCCTGAGCTGGTCCTGGTGGCTGATGTTGGCCGATTGCCCCAGAGTTCACTGTGGGGAGCAGGCGCATTTCTGAGGCTCCCCCTCAGGTTGTGGGGGTCTCAGGGCATGGGAGCTGGTTTGCTCCACGTAAATCCTGGATCTCCCAAACCCTGGTGTTGGGAATGGCCCAGGCTTTTGCCTGCCGAACGCAGAGTGGCTGCTTTCTTTTGGGGCAGCTGTGTGCCTTGAAGCCACACGTTTTAAAGCTTTTCCTGTTATTGAAGTTCACGAATGCAGCGTCCGACTGGCCTGATTTGCACACCTTGGTTTGCTGGCTCACGTTGTGTGTGGGGCACGTGTGTGGTGTGAGGAAGGGGTTCCCATTGTGAGCACACTGTTGTCCCCGACCTCGGCGTGGGGCACTAGAACATGCCAACGTTACGCTCCTGCTGACCTGCTGATCAAGGGCGTGATACACGCGCTGTCAGCTCGGAGGAAAGGCTCATGAATACTTTTCCAAAGCAGCTATAGCAGCTTCCCCTCCCACAGGCAAGGTTTTGAATGTTCAGGCCTCTCCACTTTGCCAGCTGAGTGAGTATGAAAGGGTAGCGCAGGCCGGGGCGGTGGCTCACGCCTGTAATCCCAGCACAAAAAAGGGCAGCGCATTGCCGCCCTCACTTGCATTTCCTTAATTTCCCGATGCACTGACTGAAGCAGACTTCCACGTGTTTCTGGCCACATGGTTTCCCTGTTGATGAGATGCCTGTTTGGATACCTTGCTTATTTTTCTACTGAGGTACTTTATTTTTGTCCTTTTTCATTGATGTGTCAGAGTTCTTTGTATATGTGGGAGATCGCCCCCTCGCTGGCTCCGTCTGTGGCAGAGCAGAACTCTGTTTTCATGTAGTTGAGCTTGTTGATTTTGGGTTTTTTCTTTTTTTTACTTATTTTACTTAGGGTTTTTCTGAGATGGGGTCTCACCCTCTTACACAGAGTGCAGGGGCGTGATCACAGCTCACCATAGCCTGGATCCATGGCCTCAAATGATCCTCCCACCTCAGCCTCCCAAAGTGCTGGGATTACAGGCCTGAGTCAGTCACTGTGCCTGGCCTGTGTTCTCTGAAAAACAGTTGTTTGGGTATATGCTTGGACAGCATGTGGACTAAAATGAGATGACCGATTAGCATCTGCACAAAGGTGACATGAAAATTCCTGAAGTGTTCCTTTTTTTTTTTTTTTGGAGACAGAGTCTCACTCTGTTGCCCAGGCTAGAGCGCAGTGGCGCAATATCGGCTCACTGCAATCTTCACCTCCTGGGTTCAAGCAATTCTCCTGCCTCAGCCTACCGAGCATCCAGGATTACAGGCATGCACCACCACGCCCAGCTAACTTTTTTGTATTTTTAGTGAAGACAGGGTTTCACCGTGTTGGCCAGGACGGTCTTGATCTCCTGACCTTGTGATCTGCCTGCCTTGGCCTCCCAAAGTGCTGGGATTACAGGCATGAGCCACTGCACCTGGCCGTGTTCCATATTTTTAAGTCAATGATTTAAACAGTTTTCTTCCCCAAAAAAAGAAGAGAGCTCTTTTAGTATTTTAATAGGTTCCTGCCTGAGTTGCCACAGAATTTCTGCACTTTCTTCCAAAGATGGTAAAGCTCTTTTCCTTTCACCTTCTGATCCTTAGTTTGTCTGGCATTGGTAAGGACATGTGGTGTGAGGTAGGGATCCAGTTCTGGTGGTTTTTTTGTTTCTGTTTTTGGCAAAGACCTGGTTTTTCCAGGAGGGCCCTAGCCCCTTACCACAGGAGGACAAAGAGATGTGTCAGGTGGCCTTGGAGACCGATATCAGCCCCTGACCCCTGGCCTGTTGCAGGGCTAGGGCGAGCAGGTACCACAGCAGCTGCCGCCGGCGAAATCAAGCGGGAGGAGAAGGAGGACGAGGAGAATACCTCGGCAGCCGACCACTCGGAGGAGGAGAAGAAGGAGCTGAAGGCCCCGCGTGCCCGGACCAGGTGCCAGCCCCCACCTCGACCCTTCCCACCCCCAGCCCGTCAGGACACACATGCACACAGGCCACACGCACACTGCACCCACACCGGGAGGCCATCGGCGGGCCCCACGCCCGTCCCCCAACCTCACTGTCTCCCTCTGGCCCCCTCCTGGCGCCCCCCCCGTAGCCCAGACGAGGACGAGGACGACCTTCTCCCCCCAGAGCAGAAGGCCGAGCGGGAGAAGGAGCGCCGGGTGGCCAATAACGCCCGGGAGCGGCTGCGGGTCCGTGACATCAACGAGGCCTTTAAGGAGCTGGGGCGCATGTGCCAACTGCACCTCAACAGCGAGAAGCCCCAGACCAAACTGCTCATCCTGCACCAGGCCGTCTCGGTCATCCTGAACTTGGAGCAGCAAGTGCGAGGTCAGTGGGGGCGCGGGCCACCAGCGTCCCCGCAGTGCCACCCTCCCTCGTGTTCCTGCCCTCGCTCTCCTTCCCCACCCGCCTTCCCTCTGCAGCAGCGGCCCCTCGCAATGACTGTGCCCCTCACTCACCCCCTGACCTCACTGCAGCGACCGCCCCCTCCTGACTGCCCGCCCTCCTGTTCGCCAGCCTCAGCATCCCCTCCGCAGCGGGAGGACTGGACTGTTTCTGGACCTCTAAGCCCGCAGGCCCGGGCTCCGTCGCTCGGAACTGCACCCCTACCCCAGGGGCTCCCACCCGCCCTGTCCTCCTTCCTGGGAAGCCCAGAGCCTGGCTCACAGGGGCCGGTGTCCCCACAGCCCAGAGACTGGAGCTGGTGTGCAAATCACCCTGGCTCCTTCCCCTCACGCAGATGTCCCGCAGGGCCACATGAGCCTGTCCCCTCCCTCCGACTCCCTTTCCCAGTCTGCGGGTGGGTGTTCATCACCCCCATTTCGAGGGCCAGGGGGATGAAGGATGGAGACAGACCTGCCCCGCCCCCAGATGTGAGCTGACTCCCCCCCCTGCTGGCGGCTGCTTCCTTAACTCCTTCCTCTCTTCGCCTGTACCCCGTTAACCCTTTCTCTCCTGCAGCACTGTTGCTGGGACCGGAGCCAGAGCCCTGGCCCGGCGACCCGCTGTCCCCTCCGCTCTAAGGTTTCCGAGTCTCCAGCCGTGTGTGTGGCCCGCCTCTGCTGTCTGCCCTCCGCTCTCCCCTCCATCCCGCCCGCCTGTCCCTCTGCTTCCTGTGGCAGCCCCTCCTCACCTCGCACTTGCTGCCCGAGCACAGGAGCGGCCGCGCTGCAGCCTCAGGGCCTTTCCTCCCTCAGAGCCCCCATCAGGGCTTGCGGGAAGAAACTGACCCGGGACGCACGCAGCCCCCGGCCCTCACTGTCAGTTTGGTCTGTGCGCTTGTCCTGGGCTCCAGGGGCCGTCCCCGCCACCTGGAGGGATCCCCTCAGGCCGCAAAGGCAGGCTGGGCAGGCAGGTGGGTGAGGCAGCCCCCCAGGGAAGGGCAGGGCGCCAGGCATGCCGGGCACCGGGACAGGCCTTCGCCCATTTCATCACCACAGCCCAGAGCAGTGGGTGCCCTGATGGGGACCAGCGTCCATTCTACCGAATAGGCGCTGGGGAACAGAGCGAGGTCACCTGTGCAGGGCCACGCGGCATGTAGGCCTGGCCTGAGACCTGTCCCCAAAGCAGCAGTGACCGCTCGCCGGCTCCATGCGGCTCGGGGCAGGAGGCTCGGCCCTGGGCCTGGCACAGAGGAGGCACTGGGAAGCTGAGAGCTGCCACTGTGACCATCCCCGGTGGCGGGGACGACGGGTCCCGGGGCCCTAGGGAGCCAGCGTTCCCAGCCAGGGCAGGTGCCGCAGGTGGGGCTCACTTTGGGGCAGCCAGAGTTCACTGTGGGGGGTGTGCATTTCTGTAGCTTCCCCTCGGGGTGTGGGGGTCTCAGAGGATGGGAGCTGGTTTGCTCCATGTGAGTCCTGACTTTTGAGTCCTGGACTCCCCAGGCCCGGGTTTTGGGGACGGCCCAGGCCTTTGCCTGGTCAGCCTGTGTCTTCAAGGACCCCTCTGTCCACAGTGGGCCTGGCCAGGCCTAGCTGTCCATCATCCCGCAAGCTGCTGCTCAGAGCGGGAAGGTGATTACCTTGAGAGGGATGAATAGAGAGGAGCAGACACTGGGCCCCCCCTCCGCCGCACCCCAGCCCTGCCCGGGGCCCACAGAGTGAACAGCGTCAAGGGAGAACCAGTTAACCTGCCGGGTCCTCAGATGCAGAAGCAGGGCCCCGCCTCCCTCCACACAAACGTTCTGGGAACAGTCAGACCTTGGTCCTTGGCTGTGACCACATCCATAGCCTCCGCTAGAGCTGAGGGCACGTGCACCTGGCCAGCCACTCACATGCATACACACAGGTTCTGCTGCTTTCAGGGAGCACATCCCCTGCACACAGAGGAGCACATTTTCACAGATGTGACAGCAGGCGCGTCAGCATGTGCACCCGCACTGCTGCCCACACCAGCACCGTCTTGTGTACCCAAATTACTACCCATACCAGCACTGTCCGTGTGCCCACACCAGCACCGTCTGTGTGCCCACACTAGCACTGTCCGTGTGCCCACACTGCTGCCCACACCAGCACCATCCATGTACCCAAATTACTACCCACACCAGCACCGTCTGTGTGCCCACACCAGCACCATCCATGCACCCACACTGCTGCCCAGACCAGCACCGTGTGCCCACACTGCTGCCCACACCAGCACCAGCCGTGCACCCAAATTACTACCCACACCAGCACCGTCTGTGTGCCCACACTGCTGCCCACACCAGCACCGTCCGTGTACCCAGATTACTACCCACACCAGCACCGTGTGTGCCCACACTGCTGCCCACACCAGCACCGTCCGTGTACCCAGATTACTACCCACACCAGCACCGTCCATGTACCCACACTGCTGCCCATACCAGCACCAGCCAGGTACCCACACTGCTGCACCCAACACCACACAAACACAAGTAGCTGGATACCCTCCCTGCCGCCCAGCCCCGCCCTCCCGCCCAGCCCTGGCGCATGACTAACGGAGGCCTCGGTGCTGTGACCCAGCAGTACGGAGGAGGTGCTGTCCCTGGAGGAGAAAGACCTGAGGGACCGGGAGAGGCGTATGGCCAATAACGCGCGGGAGCGGGTGCGCGTGCGGGATATTAACGAGGCCTTCCGGGAGCTGGGGCGCATGTGCCAGATGCACCTCAAGTCGGACAAAGCGCAGACCAAGCTGCTGATCCTGCAGCAGGCCGTGCAGGTCATCCTGGGGCTGGAGCAGCAGGTGCGAGGTAGGCTCCCCGGCCAGGGCGGCCCCGGCACCCTCCCCATCCCTCACCCCGGTGCAGACGCCAGGGTCCTCCTGGGCTCGCCGGCCCCGCACTCCACATCTCTCTCTCCGTGGCTGGCCTCGGACCCTGTGACCTTCCCCGGACACCCTCTGATACCCAGTCTCTTCTTTACAACCACCCCCCCCCACAGCCTTCTCAAGGAAGGAGGTGAGAGCTGGAGCTACAGGCGGCGGCACGTGATGGGGCCCAGCACCTCCCGCCCCCACATCCCGTACCCCACTCTCTCCCCCACTCTCTCCTCACCACTCCTCCTCCCAGGAACCCTCTCCCACAGAGCTCTCCCCCTCCCCCCAGAGCGGAACCTGAACCCCAAAGCCGCCTGTTTGAAACGGCGAGAAGAGGAGAAGGTGTCGGGTGTGGTTGGAGACCCCCAGATGGTGCTTTCCGCGGCCCATCCAGGCCTGAGCGAGACCCACAACCCCAGCGGGCACATGTGAAAGGTACGCCTCCATGGGACAAGCCACCCACCCTCAGTCCCGTGCGCTGGGCCCAGAACAGCCACCCGCAGCTGCGGGCCTCATCCACACCCACACCTCACATGCCTTCTGTCCGCATGGAGCCGGCGCCGGCCTGACGCGTGTCGGAGTGAAGGGGGTGACAAAGGCCAGGTCCGGGAGTTCCTGGGACCCCAGCTCACCCCTCACTGGCTTCGATCCCCCTGCCCCCAAATCTCAGCCACCATGTCACCCCATCATCTGCCCCAGGGATCCTGAAACTGCGTCTTGGCCCGTTGCCTGGGCTGACAGGAACATTTTTTTTTTTTGGCTGTAAAAACCCGAAAGTAAGCAACAAAACATACTTTGTCAGAAAAGAAAAAAATGCCTTAACTATGAAATGTGGAGAAATGGAGACATATCACTCGAGGGAGATGCTGTGGAAACCTGGCTTACGCTTCAGAAGCCACCAGCAAATTGTGCCTACGCGTACTTTTTTTTTTTTAAGGAAAATAAAAACATTAGTTACAAGATTTTTTTTTTCTTAATAGAGATGAAAATGAGCAAGGATACTGCCTTTGGTCTCTGGGTTGTTTTTTTTTTAAGCTTTTTTTGCATATGTTTTGTAAGCAACACTTTTTTTGTATAAAAGTTCCATGTCTCGCTACTTCTGCTGCTGTTTCTAGACTGAGCATTGCATTTCCTGGTCAACGCGATGATTAAACGTATTAAGAAGACCCGGTGTAACCCTGAGCCCCCCACCCCCTGCCTGGAGGGGACAGCGCGGGGCAGGCGGCCGGGCTTCTGCCTGCTTCATGCTGGAGGTTCCCCTCTGGGCCGCCTGGGCATTACCTGGTGAAGGCTCCTTGGGGCTGCCCAGCCCCACCCTCTCCCCTCAGGAAGGGGCAGATCTGGGCATGGGGGAAGGGACGTCGGCAAGGTGGCTCTGACCCTCCCAGGTGACTGCCAAGCAGCTCCGGCCCCCGGGGCTGCCCCACACAACGCCCTCCCCAGGCCCCCATCAGCTGCTCTCCCTTGGAACCTGCACACCTCTCTGAAATGGGGCATTTTGTTGGGACCAGCGACCCCTGGCACAGGGCCACACCCTGGAGCCTGCTGCTGGGACCTCCCAGACCACCGTGTCCTTCACTCCTTCGCCCCAGGGACTCAAGCCCATGCTCGGGACTCTGGCTGAGGGGATGCAGGTTTGGGGCCAGCACAGGACACCCCCACCCCAGCATGTCCCTGTCACAGCGGAGGGCCGTTGTGGCACGGACAGGATGCGTCCTGGAGGCATTCCCCAATGCTGGGAAGCATCCCTGGGCCGGGGCCGCCCCTGCTGCCCTCCCACTGTGGGGCCCAAGGGCAGGAGCGGCTGGAGCAAGAGACAGTGCTGGTCCCTGAGCCCCACAAAGGCCCTGGGCTGTGTGTCCAACTGGCATAGAACCAGCAGGGCGGCCCATCTGTGTCCTGGGCCCCATGTCCCAGCACCCAGGCCTCTCTCCAGTCCCCTTTGCTGGCCCCTTGCCATGAGTAACCAGCTTTTCCCAGCAGGCTGCCCCGGGATCCCTTCCAGCTCCACACAGACCACAGCGACGGTCCCTGTGACACCACGCGTGGGCCTGACCTGCACCCTTCCCCCTCCCCACATTGAGGCCTTGTGGAGCCCGGGCTGACTACTCACCCCAGCAGCAGCTCGGGCGTCTCCCCCAGTGCCACCCCGAGACTCCCACCGCCACTCCCGAGAAACCCTGGGCTGCCTGACTCCCCTCCCCAGAGTGGCTGGGGAGCCTGGGCCCCATGGCAGATTCAAGGGGAGCTGCAAGGCCCAGGATCTGCCCCAGCCCAGGCTGGGTGGAGGGGAGGGGCTGTGCAGCAGCGTCTCCGTCCTCCGTGGCGTCCCCAGGCCTGGGGCCCGGGTCTCTTAGGGAACCTGCCTCTTGTTTTGCCTCTGGTTCCTGCCCCTAGGCCTGGGTGGGCAGTGGCCCCGGAACTGTGTGTTCTGCATAGAATTTAAACGAGATTCACCCAGCACGAGGGGGGAGAAACGCAGCCGTTCGTGGGGGAAACCAGAGTTACAGGGTGGGAGGCGGGGGGTGGGGGGGTGGGGGGGTGTGCTCTGAGTGCCTCAAGATGATTTTCAAAAAATAATGTTTTTTTAAAGAAAATAATTTTATACGTGTCTACACAGCTGGCTGGATTATTGGGACTTTTAAACGATCCCCTTTGAAGTGGATCCAGAGACCTGTCCTGTACATAACAGCACTGTAGCAATAAACGTGATGTTTTATAATGACACTGGGCCACCCCGATCCTTTCTGGTGTCGCATGCTTAGGAGGGAAAGTGGGGGCAGGTCAGAGGTCTTGCCCCAAATTCATGGCCCCTGACACCCTCAGTGAGTGCAGCCAGGAGTGTGGTGTACCCCGTGCATGGGGCTTCCTCACAGGGACTGCTGGCTCAGAACCCCGGCACGCAGCCCCCAGGGCAGCTGCTAACCTGCACCTGTACCCAGGCCGCCAGGCCACCGGGAAGCAGGCTTGGCTCCTGGGGAAAAGTGGCTTCCTGGGGGCTGCAGTGGGGAGCATGGGAACGGTCCAGGACCTGCGGTCCTCCCAGCCCCGGGGCTCCTGATCTCCCCACGATGCCCCAGCCTCTTGGAACCGACTTCACTGCCCCTTAATGCTCTCTAGTCGGCAGAAGTCTGAGCCCATCAGTGCTTCTCTGGAACCTTCCATGACTCCCTGTTGCCGGCAGCATCAACTCCAAACTCCCAAGCGGGGCGTCTGTGACTTCCTCCACACCGGACACCCGCAGAACCCATGGACAAAGCTCTCTTGGGGGAAGAGGTGTGGCAGAAGCTGCAGGCGTGCTGCTCACCCTAAAGTGCACGCTGGCATGTGCCAGGGGCTTCCCTGCTCCGTCTGTGTGCGAGGACACAGCTGGACTGCCCCGCTCCTCTACAGGGTCGGGGGGAAGGAGGCCTTCCTGGCCCCTGGAGGCGGGTGGGCCCAGGAGAGAGTGCTTTGGGAGGAGAAGGCGCAGGGGCTCACACCTGTCATCCCAGCAGTTCAGGGGGGTGGGGTGGCAGGATGGCCTGAGGCCAGGAGTTCCAGTCCAGCCTGGGCAGCATAGTGAGACCCATGTCTTTTTTTTTTTTTTTTTTTAAGAGGAGTGGCCAGGAGTTGATGGAAGGTGCTGAGGGACCCCTGTCCACCACTCAGCATCCGGATCACCTCTAAATTTCTCTATATTCGTGCCGGAAATCAACTTTCGAAATACGCATTCAGGCCAAGCCGGGTGGCTCACGTCTGTAATCCCAGCACTTTGGGACGCTGAGGTGGGCTGGCCCCAAGAGGACAGGGCAGTCTGAGCACACGAACTCACGGTGTCCATTCCTTACCCCCAGGCCTGCAGGGCACGCTGGAGCCCGAAAGACAAATCACGCCCACTCCCCTCTCTAGGCTACTGGCCTTTCCGTTCATGCTGTCAAGGTGCCTGGGGGTCAGGCAGTCCAGGAGGGCTTCCTGAGGGAGGCAGCTCTTGAAAATGGTGGAAAAGGTGCAAAGGTGCAATGGCAGTATCTGGGAATGTGCCCCTCTTCCTTCTGCCCACGCTGGCCTGGAGTGCAGGCGGGAGGCTGGGAGCTGAGTGAGCATTTCTGATGCTGCGCCGGGCTGTGGGACAGCAGGGGAGGTCCCGACTGGAGAAAACGAGCCCAAGCAAGCCTGATGCTGTGGAAAGCAGGAACCAGGACTTGCCTGCCATCAGCTAAGAGCATCCAGAGACGATCACCGTGCGAGGAGCCAGGCCTCCCTCTGCTGCCAGAATGAGGAATCACCCTGCAAAGAGATTTCCGACTCGGCTTCCAAGCAGCGGGCAACCCAGGATGCCCACACTGGGGCTCAGGGAAGCACCGTCGCTCGGCCAAAGTCCTACAGCGAGGCAGGGACGACTGACGCCTCCGAAAGTGGGCTCCAATCCCAGCCCTTCCCCTCTGTGTGACTCTGGGCAACACCCATCCCCGTTGGACCTCAGTTTCCTTCATTGTAAATAACGTTCTAGCACATACTAGGGGCACAAAGTCACTGGCCGGCAGCCCCGCGGCTGGGGGACCGCCCTGACCGCGGGAGCCCCTAAACACATTCGGCCGCTAGAGCACGTGGTGAAAACGCCCGCTCTAGCCCCGCCCACTTGGGGAGGGGCCACCGCTCCGCGGTCAGGCAACCCTCGCCGGAAGTTACTGTAAGTGGCTTCCGGGTCTGCGCGTGCAGGGCTGGTTTTTGTTTTGTTTTTTGTTTTTTTTTTTTGTCCCAGCGCGCCTGCGCACCGCGGCCGCGCCTGCGCACTGTGCCGGGTCGGCCGGACAGGGTCACCCTGAGGGTGCTGCTCCGCCGCGATGTTGACTCGGTTCCTGGGCCCGCGCTACAGGGAGCTGCTCAAGAACTGGTGAGGACGCAGCCCTACCGCCCCACCCGCGTTCCCACCCCGGCCCAGCCTCGCGCCGCTGCGTTCCGCGTTTGTGCCCGTTCGTGTGGGCCGGACCTAGGTCCCTTATTGTGCCCGGTGACAGAGGGGGAAACTGAGACCGAGAGGAGGAGCCTAGCGTCCGGGTGCGAACGGGACGTGGCGGACCCAAGGCAAAACCCCAGCATGCTCGGCTCCGCGACTAGGCAGCTCTGAGCCTCAGTTTCCCCATCCCTACCGGGGGATCCGAGTGGTGACCCCTGGACCGCGACCCCCAGGAGCTCAGAAGGCGCTGAGGCCCGAACCCCAGCCCGGCACCCACGACATTTTCGACCTTTGCCATTATTTTGGTTATTACGATTTTCAACAAGTAGTGAAAGCTGCAGCAGCGCCTGATCCCACCTGGGTGGCGGGACCGCATGGGGGTGACCCCCATGGGAGCCGACCCCCCAGGCCGGGGGTGGCCTCTGTAGGGTTGTCTGGTGCTTCCACGTGGGGTGCTAAGAAGCAAGGCCTGGCCAGGTGCGGTGGCTCCCACCTTTTATCCCAGCGCTTGGGGAGGCTAAGACGGGCAGATCACCTGAGATCAGGAGTTCAAGACCAGCCTGGCCAACATGGGTCTTTATTAAAATTGCAAAAGTTAGCCAGGCATGCTGGCGGATGCCTGTAATCCCAGCTACTCCGGAAGCTGAGGCAGGAGAATCACTGGAATCCAGGCGGCGGAGGTTGCAATGAGCTGAGATCGCACTGCTGCACTCCAGCCTGGGCAACAGAGCAAGACTCCATCTCAAAAAAAAAAAAAAAAAAAAAAAAAAAAAGCCGGGCGCGGTGGCTCACTCCTGTAATCCCAGCGCTTTGGGAGGCCGAGGCGGGTGGATCATGAGGTCAAGAGGTCGAGACCAACCTGGTCAACACCAACCTGGTCAACATGGTGAAACACTGTCTCTACTAAAAATACAAAAAATTAGCTGGGCATGGTGGCGCGTGCCTGTAATCCCAGCCACTCAGGAGGCTGAGGCAGGAGAATTGCCTGAACCCAGGAGGCGGAGGTTGCGGTAAGCCGAGATG